CTGGGTAATCCAGAATGGCCGCTACTTTGCTACTAAGAGGGTCGGATGCCTTGAGCATCAATGGTGTGTCCTAGGGAGTTCAAAGTGTTTGTTCCGATTTGGCATTTCTGAATGTTTACATTATTGCCATGCCTTTGGACTCGTTCGAAACAATGTCCAGATGCTGGAGATGTGATTCTCTGTCCGGGCTTGCTATGAGGCAGTCATCAACATACGTATGTATGAAGTTGAGATCTCGGAAGACGTCGTCTACGAATCTTTGAAAGGTTTGGGCAGCATATCTCAGGCCGAAAGGCATTCTCAAACTTTCGTAGATTCCGAAGGGAGTGATGATAGCGGCTTTTGGAATATCGTCAGACGCCATAGGTATTTGGTTATAGGCATTAACCAAGTCGATTTTCTAAAAGACAGTTTTGCCTTTCAAGGTAGCTGTCAAATCGTGAATGTGAGGCGATGGGTAACGATCGGGAATGGTTTTTGCATTAAGTTGGACGTCAATCGTTGCTGTGACTTTTAGGGATCATGTGCAAGGGCTATTTGATGGTCGAATTATTCCTAAGTCTATCATGTGGTCGAATTCGTTTTTGGCCAACCTCAGCTTTTCAGGAGCCAGTCGCCGTACTTTCGAGATTACAGGTGGTCCTGTAGTCGTGATGTGATGTGTAATGATGCTGGTTACACACGGCAATTTCGATTGCGGTTGATATATACCGGAGTATTTATTGAGTAATTGTTGATTGAATGGGTCTATTTAGACCAAGGATAGTTTGCAGCCGGAAAGAGGAGATACGCAAATAGATGAATTAGTATATCCATCTATTAGCCTTCGTTTGCGCGTATGTGATGTGATATTGTAGGAGGTCTATACCAATGAATGGCACAGAAACATCTGCAACAACGAGGATCCATTGAATGGGTTTGCTTAAACTCACGTTAAGGCAAACGTACCTTTCACCATATTTGGCGATTGGCTTTCCGTTCGCCACCTGTCAGTTTAAAACAGATTACTGAGGCCGGTTGTTAGAATTCGCAGGGAGGACACTAACTTCTGTGCCAGTATCGACGAGGTAGTGGACTTTCGTGATCAAATCTGTGACGTATAAAAGACGGCTATGTTCACCCTCTACGGTTGCCGTTTACGCTTGCCGGCTGGGAAGTTTCCCGATGTTTTTTCTTGTCGGTCGATTTTGTGTTCTGATAGTTGCAGGGTTATCTGCAATTTCTGGAAGACTTTATATAGTGGCTATGATACCAGCAAAAGTCGGGGTTATCTGTCTCTTGTGGTTGAGAGAATAATAGTTCTTAGGAATGTCAGACGTAGATGCAGTGTGTTCATGTACGATGTGAGCTAAAATGTGTCCAACAAGATTGATTGTCGCCATCGTTTCAGATATTTAATTATTTTGATCTTGGAGTAAGTTCGCGCGTGTTGATAAGGAAGGATTCGATTTGTCAGTGAAATCTTTTCACAAGGCTACTAGCTGCTGGATAGAAGCTCATTGTTTTCATATCCCACTTACCGTCACCACTGATCATAGTCCTCATTTCTAATCACCTTTTTTCCAGGAATCCATTGTACTGTTAAGAACATACTAGAAAGAGTTATCATGGAATGACTAGAAGCTGCTTAGTTGGAAGATAATCTGTTACTTGTCGACGTTTTTACTGTACTTGAGGACGACACATATTTTTCATAAATATGTCATAATTTATGATGGTTAACAGTTACGACAATATTTCGCCAAATTATGCAACTTTGAAATGATGCGCCCGGAAAAAATCGTATGGAATATTTTCGCAAACATATTGACTTTTGTTGCATAAATAGTTTGCTAATGTAGGCACAACTGAATTGGAAATGCGCTTTCTTCAGTAACTGAACGACCAGAAAATATATGAAACGAATATGATGAACTGAACATTATTATTATTATTATTAATGGCTTTATTCAATATTATAATCTGGTACAATATAGAATTCTCAGCACGAGTTATTTCAACAAGTTTTATACCAAAAAAAACAACCCAAAAACACAAACAAAAAAACACAAAAAAACAACAGAAATAAAATTTTAAAAAAGGTTTAGGAGAATCTGAATTTATACAAATTATCGAATATGAGACATGCTTAAGAATACAGGTTATTTACTAGGTCAACTCTAACAGCCTGTTCGTCACAAAGTAAATTTGCTAAGTAAGGTATTACAGAACTTTTATAGATTTACTTGCGTGCATGGATTTTAATGTATTTACGTCTCGTTCTACCAGAAGATATACAAGGAGAAAGATATGAATGAAGCGGATGGTTAGTATCTGATAAGATAACACCTGCCAAGAGTTTGCAAGATTTAAGATGTCTATCCACAAGCATATTAACAATGACTTCAAAAGATTCACCACATACCTTGCAAACTGCCTTCAGCACTCTACGCAAAATAGCAGTCTTTTCTCAAAAGCCCGGGAAAGAATAATGGAGAACAATATAGAATAATAGGTAATATGCAGGAATTTACAAATTGTAAGAGTAAATGGCGAGTAATCCCAAAAGCATGCAGCCTCTTTATGTAGTATGTCAAACGGTAAACTTTTTTCGATAACAGTAAAACATGAGAAGACCAAGAAAGATCAGAGGAAAAAGTAACACCAAGATATTTGACCTTCGACACTGTGTTTATTAAGGAGTCTCCAATGGCACAAGCACTATGGGATCCCAACATAGAGTATAGGTTCTGTCCATGTCTCAAGCTAAAGCTTGACATTTAGATAGATTGAGTAAGAGACCATTACCAACAGACCACCTTTCAATACGAGATAAAAACTCATTCATTTCTATAGGGTGTAAGGAGGTAGAAATTGGCATACATACGGTGAGGTCGTCCGCATATTTTACAAAAGTGTTTTCTGTGGAAGATGGCAGATCATGCAAAAAGAGCAGAGGTGAAAGAACAGCTCCTTGTGGCACACCTACAGTAGACAGTAGAGATGTTGAACACTTTCCTTCAAAGACAGTGTACTGTTCTCTTCCAGAAAGGTAGGAACATAGCCAATTGGTTATCCAGCTGTCAGTATCGACGCTGATCAGCTTGTTAAGTAAGAGGTGTCTTGGAATAGAATCAAAAGCAGAAGTAAAGTCCAGGAAAGCGCATCTAACATACTTCTTATCCTTTTCCAACCCGAACACTATATTGTGATGCAGAACAGACACGGCATCTAATGTGCTTCTTTTGCATTTGTAAGCAAACTGAAATGGATCACAGTGCTCTTTTATTACAGGTTGAAGTGGTTGTATCAGTAATTTTTCCATTATTTTGAGGAAACGTGAGGTTATTGCTATGGGTCTAAGTTTCGCATTTTTATCACCAGGAGTTTTCTTAGGTATAGGGATTACCTTTGTTTTTCTCCACATTTTCGGTAAGACATTAGTTGAGAAGGATCTGTTGAAGATATTCGTTAATGGATGACATAAAACATCAGCACATTTTTAAAAAAGGAGGTTTGGGATACCATCAGGTCCTAAACATTGGGATGAATTAAATGACTAGAGTCGTTTTCGGACATAATTTTCAGTGAAACTGGGAACACAATTATTCTTCAGGCCCTTGGATATAAGGCGCATGATGTCAGATGACTGATGAATAAAGGACTTATTTAAGTCACAAACATTTAGCTAGTTATCGCTTCTAGTCTGCCTGTCCCCTGTAATTTCTTTAAAGAGTTTCCACATACTTGGAGAGCTTCTGCAAGATAGGAGTTTTTGAGTGAACACACAGTTGAGACGTCTAATCTCTTGGTTTATTTGATCATTTAACTTACGAACTTCAATAGTGTTTTTCTCCTTGTACATCCTTTCTTTTACCCTCCGTAGTCGTTTTAGTTGTGAAGATGTAAGTCGATCAAAACTTAAAAAGAAGGTTTCGGTAGGACAGCAAACATCAAAACAGAATTTAGGATAAGAGGTGATAACATCCGTTGTGTTTTCTATTGAGTCATCTGTAAGTACTTTCCAGTTGGTCGTACGAAACATGTTTTTCAGATTTTGTAAATTTTCTTCTGAGTAATTCCTATATATTACTTTTGTGGTATGGTGTATGTGTGTACTCTTTCCATGTTTACCATATACTTTAGGTAAGACATGAATTATTCAGTGATCCGAACTAGACAATGGATCACGTTTGCGAGTCACATATGTACCCACATCATTAATGAAAACCAAGTCTAGATGAGCATTCAAACGAGTAGGAAAATCTACTACATTTAGGTGACCTAGTGATGTAAGGAAGCTACAGTCACATGAATTGAAATCATCACATACAATTGAAAGTGAATCACTGAAGGCAGTAACGGCGAATTCAGTAAATTTATCAGTGAAGACAGATAGCGCAGATGATTTGCAGTCTGGAGTCATGTAGATATTGGTAACATAAATATATTTGTATTTATTCAGGTGTTTTGGACGGAACCTTAAAGTTAGACAGTCAATAAAGTCGTTTGAAAACTTGAAACAGGCAAAAGTAGATCTACACCAGTTAACGTTTACAAAAGTAGCTACTCCGCCACCACAAGTCTTTTTATTGTTGGATCGATCCTGACGATAGATATTAAAATCACGTAATGACACTAAGCAATCATCCTGTAAGTCAGTTAACCAAGATTCTTGAATTGTGATGACACCACAATTACGATACATGTTTTGACTTAGCAGAAATTGGAGATAGTCCACCTTGTTAATTAGTGATCGACAGTTAGAGTTAAGTAGCTCGGGAATCGACATTTGATTGATGTTTATTCTCTTTAGAGCATATTGCCAACCATCACGATGTCTCTTATTGTGCTTGTTCGTAATTTTTGCAGCGAAAGGGCGTAAGCTTTTTATAAACGCGCTTGTGTAGGTTATGCAATTAATAGACATAATGACAGGTTAAAACAAATTAAAAAAAATCCAGATAACTTGTTGAAATATTTAGATGGCAGAAACAGGTAGCCCAGGTATTCAAGCAGGCCGCCCTGGACATTTCACTGCATACTTTTCCATGATTTAAACCGTGATGTAAATTTTCATTTCTAATAATGACAAAAACATTCTTAACAATAATATCTTGAAAGTCATGGTCCGTTCGATTGAAGTCGTATATCAACATTAGAATTTTTGTATAACTAGTAAAACTCTTGCACACGCACACTCTGAAACGTGTAACGAAACCACACCACGACGTAAACAGAACACAGAACAAAGCATCATCTGCCAGGATTTACGAAAATTTCGTCACTCTGATCGTATTGCAATGCTCTTTCTGGGTTTGATATAACTGCGACGGTGAATTCTTCAACTGCTAATTCACTGAGGAAGCTGATAGATTACAAAACGGTGTAATGGATTGAATATTTGAAGTAGTTAGTTGCCGTCTGTAATGTGAAATAATTGATGGCTTTATTTCTGCTTCTATTTTAATAGACAATTTTTCCTCACTTTTAGTCTCTCAGGTTATTTGTTTGCACTTTTGACGCTGTTATTTGTGAAGGTCGAATAGTCACCGTCTATTTGAACATTTCAACAGTTACTGTTAGTTGCTCAGAAAGAAGAGTCAACTGAATCCTTTTCTGTGTAGTGTGTCCTGTTCTTCGTGTCAAAACCAATCATCATACTCAGAAACGGTTCTTGTCACCCAGAAAACGTGCATTTGTAGTTTATTTGAGTGCCTTTTCAGCTATCTGAATATGTAATAGGTTGGTTGACTTGTGATAATACTTGGGATATATTTTTGTTAAAAGTTCTGCCTATGTTCAGATATATTTGCTGTTTGGATTGATAACAAGCTATTGGGTAGAGTGTTTTATTGGTTTATTGCTCGGTTGAAAATGTGAAATCCCAATTTCTTTATTTGATCCTGGTGTTTGCATCTCTTTATGATCGTGGTCATTTCAGCAGTCAAAATAACATGAGGCTAGTTTTCCTTACAGAATACGAGATGGAGATCTTGTTACTGGATATTCAGAGGGGAAAGGTCCATTTTTGCAGTATTCTTTTTCACTGCTGATTGTGTTAATAGTTTAGTGTTCAACAACTAATTATGTTCAAAAGCACTGCGATACTCCATGAACCAATGTCTAGCCGCTTCATAAAGCTAGTGTAGACGAGTTATCCTGTAGGTGTAATATAAAATTCGCTACCTTTCTTCGTCAAGTCATTCAAATACTCTCAGAAGTTGCCAAAGCAAACGAAATCCTTTAAAAGCTATACATTGCCCTGTGTAGTTGTTCTTAAGTAGTGGATTACAGTAACATCTAAAATCCCACTCTCCATAGTTTGTGAAAATGGTGTCCTGTTAATAATATACTAGTGACTACGGTTGTTTCCCGTCAGAATTTCCGCTTTAGTTTCTTTATCAAGTTTTAGACTATCTGACCAGTTTACTCAAATTAATTTGAAGTCCTGACTTATCAGTATTGCTAAATGCTTGTTATGCCTGATAGAATATTGAGATTAAAATAATACTTTCAACCATTTCATGTAGAATTATTGTGTGTATTTTGATTGCATATTTTTTAAGCACTTGAATTATTGTAAAGTTTAATAATTTTATTTGATTGATTATGTTTGTGCCTTAATTACTGCTGCGTTTGCTATCTTCTTCAAGTTTTCCGTCAATTGTTTACCTGAGTTTTCCTTCACCTATTAAGCAGTTATGCGCACATTGTAATTTACTGTATATGTGGATGTGTAGTAATGAAATTACTTTATAGTATCTTAAGAGATTGAGGCACGAGAAACCGCCATACAACAGAACAGACATATTTTAGCTAACGTCATCTTTTTATTAAGTACTAAGTTGGAAGCAGCTCGTGGACCAATGGGCGTTTCGATCTCGTTCGTTGTTTGTTGGTCTCTGTATCAGTCCTACGTTTATAGAATGGACTGAAAAATAATAACAGCGAACAATACAACTGCTTCCTTAATACTTTACATGTCGATCTGAAAACCCGTTATTTTTGAAGATATAATAGCATTACACTCAAAACCATTGATTATTCTGCAAAAATGGGCAGTGGTGTCTTGAACAGTTTTGGAAATTCTTTGGTGTAGTATGTCCTCTTCTTTTTGTTGTTAGTGGTATGCTTTTAAAATGAATTAGTACAAGCAACAGCTACGTGGACCAGAATTGCATGTTAAATGTGACGCTACCTTTTCGATAAACTTAGGGCTATGCACTACTTCTGCCCACGTTGTTTGACTTCAGGCGTTTTGTTTTTGGATCAATTCAAAAGGTATTTACCACTACCATAAAACACAATGCTTGCAGCAATCAATATTGATATGGGGCAAACATTGTATACGGATTACAACTCGATTTTGTCCCGTGCTTAACGTTGCATAGATACGTCTGACCTTGAGTAATTGTTAACCGAAGCAAAGAAGAATCCTGATACTATGCTTCAGAAGATTGTTACTCATTACAACCTTTTACTTTCAGATTGTCTTTTCCACCATATAATTGAACAGTTATCTGCTAATAACTCTCTGATTCCAAGAAGCATTCAAGTTTCTCTCCAAATAATAAAGAAAATCATTGCAGGCAATCTTCACAGTTTCTGGAAGGAAAATGACTATTCGGAAACTAAGACTGGTAACGTTTGTTGACTTTCTCAACTGTTAATTTATTATCACTATTCTTGAACATGTGTTCAGGCCTGAGGTTTTCCTTGCTTTGCTAATGTTGTTCAGTGAAAGTGTGTAGGGTGAATTTATTACTAGGTAATGTCCACTGTGATCACTAAACTTGTAAGTGAAAGACTTGAATTGAGACTACTTCTATTCGAATTATGTACTTTTTATTTTTAAAAATAGATGATGGTTTCTGGTTAGAGTAAGTTACATCTTCCAACCATCGAACTAGTTCTTATACATGTTTTTGTCACTACAAAATTGCGACGAAGAACTACTTTGAAGGATAGACTTAGTTTTTAATATAAGCGGACTAGGACTATTTAATGATGAACCATTAGTACACTCCTAACCACCGCGCTGTTCATGACGGGTTTTTTATTATCATTTCGTCGGAGAATCAAAGGCACTGTGAAAACCTGTTGAACAGTTTGTTAGGCTCTGTTGTTGATCAAATAATTTAAATATAACGTCACCGTTTCTTAACCTGCAAAACTTTTATCACTTATTTCGTAAAGCTTTCCACTCATCAATTTACTCTGGGTATTCGAAAAGCAGTCTTTTGTCATATGAAATGAAAGTATTTAATTTGTTAGATTGTTATAGCTGCAAGTATTATATTTATCTCTGTTTAGAGTTTGGATTTTCATCTGTGGACCAAATTTCCAAAATATGGCTTGTTTGCTGAATATTTACTGAAATATACAGATAAATAGATGGTGTTTAATAGCTGTGAAGCAAAAAGTTTAATGATAGCACGTTAGTGAAATAAAGCTCTAGGTCAAAAGTATGAAGAGTGGAATACAAATCCAAAAAGGGTATAGTAGACTTTTATTATAGGATATGTATATGGTTCATCACGCAGACAGGTAAATGACGATTTCCAAATATCCTATGGTTATGTGGCCTTTAGTTTGAATCAATGACCGCTATGTCAACAGTTTTCAACTAAAGAAACAACAACGATACTTGTAGGTGACAGGTAAAGGATTTTCAGGAAATGTTTTAGTGTAAACAACAAAGAGGCTCTATATTAGAACAAGATAACTGTAAGGTGTCCTCATGTTTGTCTAGTTTCAGTTAGTGCATGGTGTAAACTATGAAGTGCCCCGTATTCGAACCAATAATTATGTGATCTTACTAAGGGCGAAGTTAACGTTGTTCCGTCCTTAAACACTTTAGATAAGGAGAGGAACTGGATGTATTCTCACCTGTGAATGTTGCAAGTATTGAAATGTATGAAGAAGGTTCCTGTTTGTTGGGAGACATGAACCTTTAAAACCACCTAGAATATATCTGCATAGACCAACAGTTGGCTTCTGATTTCTACACATTTGTGTTGGTGACGAATGTTTCCGCTGCTAAAAACATATGATATACGATTAGATAAAACTAGAAGGGAATTCAGTTCTTATTCTTAGACTATCTAGTGTTGTATGACTATAGCTAGGGATCGAACGTTCTCAAAATCATAAGCACAATAGTATTAGAAAGATCGTGATCATTAATGAGCATATAACCTGATCTTTTAAGTTTATGATGGTATCAAGGCTGTGTAAAACTGTATTGACAAGGTGAGAATCTCTTTAATCAAATCTACGTTATTTAAGCAGAGATGAATAGTGGCTAACAGTGGAATCCAGGATGCGCGTTTCGTCCCATTTGGGACTCGTCAGCTGGATGTACCTGCATCTCAGAGTTGATGTTCACTCTGGAACGCGCGTCCTGGATTCCACTGCTAGCCACTATCCATCTCTGCTTACCATGCTTGTGAATTAAGGCTATATTGAGGCAATACGCACAGTATGCACATATGCCAACTAGAGACTGACCGGTTGCACTCCTAACAAATCGATGGGAAGATTCAAACAAACAATACTGAATGAATCTACGTTATTTAAGTTTTCGGGGCAAAATCGTCAGACATGAATGAGCATTTCTCATCTACACGATTCAATGGAACACTAATCAGTGATTGAGATTTTATGGAGGTATATTTTATGTATTTATTTTATTGTTATGTTATTCGTGCGCAGAAAACGTAATCTGCTAGAAACAGTTGTTTACAATCTTTCAGCAATTCAGATTTACACCATACTTCACTTGTTAATCACAAATTATTAACCAATAAAATTTCAAACAATCAAGCTAAAAGATGTTGAAAATCTTGAGTAAAGAAATCACCTCATTATCCAGTAAACAATTTTATTCATATAAATGACAATGATCTTTTATTCGACAAATTTCACCATGTTTTAAATTTTTCCTTCCGTCAGATTTCACTTCAAAGATCCATAATTTTGTGTATAATTCTCCTTTTGTTTGCAATCGCTTTGTCATACTATATTTTAATCGGAGTTTACACCGTAATTGAACCTGATGTAAATTGTATTTCGAATAAACCACAACAAATTGTATTTATTGGAGGTTACCCAAGAAGTGGTAAGTATACATCTTGGTTTTTCTTATTCATCAACACTAATAATAAAACTAATCGAAACGTTATCAATTATCTTTGTGAAGTACAATGTATTAGGAAATCTACTTCAGTATGTATATGTTATTGATGGTATGTTATTTAATTAGTGAAAGTTGAGCGTTAAGTATGATAAACGCCCAGGTGCGGCCGAGAGTGAGGAGAGGCCACTCTAGCTCTCGAAGTGCTCTAACATGACCACGCGTATATAGCCTGTGCCAGGGAAGTCCTACTCACTGCTTTCTCGAGGCGAGGTTGTTGTCTACAAAATTGAGAGGACGAAAAGCGAATGTCCGGCCCTTTGACCGGGCTAGTGGACACGGCGAATCTATCTAGGGGAGTTGTAAAACACTGATTCCGAAGCAATGGTGCACATGGGCCCCAGTATCTCGAGGGAACAAATGGAGTATGAATCAATCGTTGGTCACCGGCTCCCATGAGACTGCATGTTCTTACGATGCTCCACTGCTTTTTGGGTTAGACCTTTAGGTCAAAGGCTTGGGGTGTAGCCCCTGAAGAAAACCACCTGCTTCGGTCTGGGTACACGGGTAGTATTACAGCTCACACACAAATAAATGAAATGACCATTTTTACTGACAATACTATTCACGCTCCTACTAAAAGTCAGACAATTTACCACGTCGCTTATTCACTCCTTTTGTATTTCCAATTTGTGTATCCTTACTTTTCACCCTATGCTGCAGCTCGCTCTTGGTGGAAACTCTGTTTTATCTAAATGATCTCCAGTCACTGTCTGGTTGAAAGTGAATGCTTTCACCGACTACGAATACTGAACCAGTCTTTCTGAAACCACGTACGCCGTTCAAGCTGGTTTCCTTCAACGTTCGCACACTAATGCAGATCGAACAACAGATAGGGCTGGCTATGTCTTTAGAAAGTCTTAATGTTGACGTTTGTTGTCTATCCGAGACCCGTATTCAAGACTGTAGTGAAGTACCACAAATTCGCTCTCCATTTGTCACTTCGAAAAGCTTGTTTCACGTGCGTTTATCAGGGGAACATGTGGCATCTTCGTCTGGTCTTGCTGGCGTTGGTGTCGCACTAAACGCTAGAGCTGAGGCAGCACTAATCGATTGGATCCCCATTAACAGTCGGTTATGCGCTGTTAGATTAGAAACTTCCATCAAAGTTAGAAGAAATCGGCATGAGAAACGGTGTCTTTTCGTCATCTCCGCCTATGCCCCGACAGATTGCAGCCCGGATGCAATCAAGGATGAATTATACCACCAGTTAACAGTTCTTCTCCAGAAAGCGCGTTCGACAGATATCGTAGTACTAGCCGGAGACTTGAATGCACAGGTTTGGCGTTTAGGCACAGAAGAGAATCATTTAGGTGACCTATGTGGACTTGTTGGTCGCAGGACAGATAACGGGGACCGTTTGCTGCAACTATGCACAGACTACAACCTGTTTGGTCGCAACTACATGACGCCATTAAAGTAGTGAGTAAAGCCGCTTGCGGCTTCGCGAAACGTCCTGCTTATGACCACTGGGTTTCTTCTGTCTCCTTACAATTGATCGAAGCCCGTCGGTCTACTCCGGGTGACCGTGAGTATGACCACAAACGAAGGCTGTTACGTAATGAAATCAAGCAAAGCTTGCGTAAGGACCGAGAAGCCTGGTGGTCGGAGAGTGCTAATGAGATGGAAGCAGCAGCTGCATCTGGTAACTGCCTGAAGCTCTTCCAACTCATCCGAGCCACTGGCAGCAAGAAGTCTAGTGTGAGTGAAACAATCTGTGAGGATGACGGGATGCCAGTCACCAACATCTGTCGACGTCTTGGACGATGGACAGAATTCTTTGAAAGACATTTTAACTGGCCTGCTGCTCTGGCAACATCTATCAGATTGTCCTGCCCTCCATGGCCGGTGACGACTGGTCCACCAAATGAGGCGGAAGTCCGCAAGGAACTGCAACTCTTGAAACGTTACAAATCACCGGGCCCAGATGACTTAACTCCGGCTCTTTTCAAAGATGGTGGTGGCTTTCTGGTTAAGGGATTGGCTGCGTTGTTTACAAAGGTTTGGGAGCTAGAGAATGTTCCAACGTCATGGAATGAGTCGATAGTTGTCCCTATCTTTAAAAAAGGTTCACATCGTTCCTGTAACAACTATCAGGGGATAAGTCTACTTCCGATTGCGTCCAAACTATTGGCTTCTGTCATACTTCATAGGCTGTTTAAAACCCGAGAACGATTGACTCGAGAGGAGCAGGCTGGTTTTCGTTCTGGTCGAGGATGCATTGATCACATCTTTACCCTCCGCCGAATGTTAGAACACCGTCATACTTATCGCAGGTCAACAATCGTAGTGTTTCTTGATATCAGGGTTGCCTTCGATTTGTTGGGTAGGACTGTTCTCTGGGATTGTCTATGAAAGAAGGGTTTGCCTGAGAAGTTTATTAACATCCTAAGCGCCCTGTATACAGACACCCCAGGCAGAGTGAGGGCATACAACCACCTTTCTCCATCGTTCCATTCAAGTAGTGGGGTTAGACAGGGTTGCCCAATCTCACCATTCCTCTTCAACTTTGCCATCGATGACATTCTGAAAACATCTCTGATGGATGTCAGTAGCGGCGGTGTGGATTTGCTGCCTGGAGAAAGGCTTCTCGACCTTGAGTATGCGGATGATATTGTCTTACTGTGCGATAATGCCCAAGCCATGCAATCCGCACTTATTCAGTGTCCACAGGTAATGTATGTGCTTTGCACCCTCCAAGTGCAAAGTACTTCTACAAGACTGGAAGGATTCTAATCCTGTACTCACCCTGGATGGTGAGCAGATTGAAGTAGTTTAGAAGTTCGTGTATCTAGGTAGCTACATAAGTGCTGGTGGTGGCGTGAGTGATGGGATTGATGCACGTATAGTGAAATCCAGAGCGGCTTATGCCAATCTAAGCCAACTTTGGCGCCTGCGTGATATTAGTCTGGATGTAAAAGTTCGAATCTAAAACACGTCGATGAGGGCAGTTTTGCCCTATGCTTGTGAAACCTGACCTCTCCGAGTTGGGGATGTTAGACGACTCTCTGTGTTCGATCATCGTTGTCTCCGAAGGATTGCTGACATCCAGTGGCAACACCATGTTATTGATGCAGAGGTTCGGCACCGTGTATTCGGGCTCGGAGACGATAATCCAGTCGGTGTCACTATCTTGAAACACCGACTTCGGTGGCTTGGACATGTTCTACGAATGTCGTCCCAGAGAATTCCATGTCCTGCATAATTTGTCGACGCTGGGACTGGTTGGAAAAAGCGGAGAGGTGGTCAGTGTATGACATGGTTTCGTGGTATGAAAGAAAGCTTCAAAGGGCTGGCTTCTGTTGGTCCTTCACGACTCCCTGGCTGGGGTCCGAGAGATGGTGCAACACAGTGGCTAGAGACGTTATCAGATATGGTTGAGAATAGAAGCCAGTGGCAATCCTGCTGTGATCTTTTATTTTCTTTAAAAAGAGTGATCATAATTTCCTTAACTGAAAGAGTCTTCTGGTTGTACATTTTAGTTCCCCTCATCATTACTCCTCTCTTTTTTCATCCTTTTTCTTCCTCCTCTTCCCATTCTCATTGTTTTGTGTGGCGCATATATATCTGGTGCTCCTTTGTACCAATATTTATGTGTTTAAGTAAATAAAATTAATACAAGGTTATACTTAACACATCAAACGCTCTAAAACAACGAAATTCATTTGCTGAAATATCTATATCTAAAGAATTATAATACAATGTATAGGTATATTTTGATTTGGTCCCATATTTTTTATAAGATGGTACTTGGTATTTCAGAGAAAATGTGCTTTTGGTTTCATACATTTTTCCCTGTTGCTTGGAAATTTCTAACCATTTATTGACATGCTAATGTTATGTGAGATGGCTGTGATCTTTCATTTTGAATTTTACTGTGTCGATTAGTTGTTGAATAATGTTTTTTGAATGTTCAAGGATAAAATGTAATGACAATTTGGTTAGTATACCTTATATGTTCTTCAAAATATTGGATTCATGTATTTGGCGAAAAACTGTTATTTCCAATAAAGGAGAACATCTATAAGCTTACACTTATTCGGATTCATCTATAACGTTTTCCACCTAGAACGAATGTAGTATCTGTATGGATTCTGAAACTTTTATCTTGGTTGATAGTTCGATAGATTACTGGGAAATCAGAAAGTTTTCTTTATAAATTTCACATTATTGACAATATGCTCAAAAATGAAACTAAATGAAGTCCTTGTCAGAAACACAGGTGATAGGTTCCTTTCTCATAATAAGTAAAAATTATTTTAATACTAATGGGATTGACTTTACGAAGAAGAAGACAAAATAGTCATTAGTGTTATTCACGAATATGTGTAAATTCAATGATAATGAAAAGTGTAATCGACTAATATGGGGTAAAGTTACAGGTAATCTATCAGGTATAGTATTGGCTGATATTGTTCTAGGACATCCACAAAATGCCAGACTCAAATGAAGTCGATATATTTGAGATATGTTTATGGAACTATGGTTGTTTATAATGATGAAGGTATTTCTAATCAGTTGCCCAAATGTTTCAATTAACCTCACCTGAATTTAAAATGCACATGTGATCACTAAATTAAAAGTCAGACGAGTGTTTTAGACAAAATGAGAGAGAAACGGAGATGGCCAAGTTTCTTTCCTTTATACTTAACTTCCTGGAAGGGATAATATTCATATTTCAATAGACATTTTTACCTTACATAAAATGAGTCTTTTCAGAATGTTATATTTGGGGAGAGACAGGTTCTTATTTAAAATTCATTAGATGGCGAAGTGTAAACTATTTAAGTAATGTCAGTCTCGAATAGATAACTTATAGATTTTAAATGTAAACATTTCAAGTCAACAAATAGCATAACATAACAAACCATAGTCCGTGAAAATAATACGTTTGTCAAACTTCCAACATTACTCTGAGTTTTCCTGCTGCTAATTTTGTGATCACTTATGAAACAAAAAGCCTACTTAGATGAATATACTGAGATAATATACAAGTGTTGAATCCCCCCATCAATTTAATCATTCAAGTAATTGCGTTCACCAACACTATGTTCAAGTAGTATTATTGATATTATCACTATTATTATAATTGTCTTATTATTATGTTTTGGTAATTACTATTAATTTTATTTTGTCCAGTTTGTATATGTCTTTTGTACTGAATAACTTCAGATTTTTACTAAATTTGGATTGGTGTGATTTATGCTGTTATTTTTATTAATTTGATAGTTGAAATCATCAGCCGATTGAAGCTAGACCAGCATGTAGAACCTGCACGCACTGGACGGCCGTCTCCTGCAATTGTTGGACAACTCAGCAGTGCGCATCCACGATCTTGACCCGTGAGATTCGGACCCAGAACCTATCGGTATCGAGTGCGAACGCTTAACCTCTGGAACACTGATCTGACTGGCATTCAACGGTTTTAGTGTGTTACTTTAACCAATACACGAAATTGAGCCACCGTTTCTAGTTAAAACGATAGGTCATGTGTTCGAATCTCACGACGCAAGATCGTGGATGCGCACTGCTGAGTAATTCCATACTAGGACGAGACGGCGGCCCAGTGCTCCTAGGTTCTCCATGCTGGTCTAGCTTCAATTAATCCATGAATTCAACTACTAGATTACCATAATATCCACAAAACCCCTCTCTGATATTTTTATGTTTTAAATATATCTACTTTAACCTTGATTTTTTATAAGGATACATTAAAAAATATTAATATTTGATCAGGTTCTTCAAAATATCTTGTACCCATATCTCACATAATTCTGATGAACTCTGACTTCTCAGTCCACTATCTAGATTCATATTCATCATCAAAGTTTATATAAAATGAGTAATATGACTACTCAATATAAATATTACTTAAATGTATTTTGCTCTTTACATACAGGCACCACTCTTATGCGTGTCTTGTTAGATGTACATCCAATGATTCGGTGCGGTCCCGAAACTAGAGCAATACCCAAGATCCTCAACTTACGAGGTCAGTGGAGTAAAGGAAAAGAAATTGAACGACTTAAAGCTGCTGGTCTATATCCCGTTGCAGTCGATTCTGCTGTACGATCATTTATATCGTCTTTGATCAAAAATGCCGGAGAAAATGCACCTGTTCTGTGTAATAAAGATCCACTATCATTTATTCATCTTGAATATTTGGCGGAAATATTTCCTGAGGCGAAATTCGTTCACATGGTACGTGATGGGCGTGCTGTGATCAATTCACTAGTAAAGTAAGATATCAGTACTCATACCGGTCACTTACAAAATAACTACATATATCTGACGTCATTGAACTCACCAAAACTAATGAGCTGACTTCAGTCAATATACTATTTTAATTTGAATCGGTCGCATCAAATATTTGGATTATATTAATAAGTAAGTATAGATTAGAAGGAATGTGGTTAGCAATAGAATTTGGGATTCGCGTTCCGTCCTATTTAGGACTCGTCATTTGGAAATACCTACCACTTTAATTTTATTTAAACATGTCAATTGTGAATATTATATGTACTGCAGATGGCTCTGTGATTTTATTTCTTGATAACAGATATGTTAGAGTTGTTGTTTTCCTTAATATGTAGGTAAAAAGTAAACCATTGTGGTAACAGCAGAGTTGAAATTATCAAGAAGTTTTAAATGGAAGAGTGGAACTGTATACACCTGTTCGGAATACATCGTGTACACATTAAATTATAGATGTTTATTCAGGAATAATCTGTGGTGACTACCAGTGTAGTGAATGAGAACACAAGTGGCGATAATCGAATGTATTTAAGTACGAATTACAAACTACCCTACTAAAATCTGATAACCATACAGTAAACAGTTCATTTGTAAAATGACAATCAATCGTCTCCTTCTTGACCATTGTTTCTGTAAATATCAGTCCATCTTCTCTGATTTCATTGTTTATGCATTTTCATACCAACTGCGCTTCGTTCCTGTTCTTTCCTTATAGGTCTTGTGCCAAAATACATTCTATACCTGACCATCACCATATAATATTGATGTGGATATAACTCACTCACACCACACCAGTTTAATAATAGATGGGAATAAAAATTTAAGTGCATTTATTTATTTATTGGTTTGGAAAGTGTCTCAGTAGAACAAAATTGATCTTTGACAAAATCTATGTGGACCTAAAATAGTCTTACAAGCTAGTATCAACCCACTCCTCTCTAACACTAGCCAGATTTATAATATTTATCATAATGCAATTACATTAAAGAAAAGTATTTCCATTGCTATTCCTTGACTGTAAGACACAGTACTTAGAATTAAGGGATATACATAGATTGTTTGTATATGCAATTCAACTTACAATTTAAGCAGTCAGTTCTCTAAAACCACTGGATTCTTCACAAGACAACCCAATTACTACGGTTTTATGTGTTTATCAGTCAATGAAAGACCATAGCATACCGTATAGTTTTTTCTAAAACGCTAAATGAATTGTAAGGAAGATTACTGAACTTTGTATCAACATAAATACATCATTTTTATCAATATTTATTTCTTTCATTCGAGATTGACAGTCAAATGAACGTTGAACTGATTAGTTGATAGTTTACATTAAAATTTATTCTCTCTTCTAGTTAAATATGCTTCAATTCACGACAATATATATGGTTGTTTTGTTTTCAACTATTAGCTGAAGCATAATATTGTCATACAATTAAACAATAGCTATTATAACAAGCCTATATTTAGAAAAAAAAGAAAAGAAAACTGACAAAATCCTTGTATATTGAAAACTGATTTGACTTATTATTAGAGTGAATAAACATTTGTAGGTAATAAAATACTTTAAGTAGTAGTTATAGTTTAACTGTTATAATAACAAAAAACAGGTTGATAGAACAACTAGAATATTCTAAGGTTATTCTATTAAGTTAAATGGTTAAAACAATTCACCAAATGATTAAAAATATTCTAAAGAAATCAAAGTTTATTATTCATTTAAAATATTTAAAAAAACACAACAACCACCTTCTTAAGATAGAACATGTATTAACACATCAGATAGTAAATAACTAAACAAGAGAAAACTTATTCAGGTCACATAATTAATCAATAATCTTTCACTTCCATCTTTTATCATATCAATAGTTGTATAGTTGGAGATAAATCTAGTTTTAAAAATCACAATATCAACTATTTATATAGTTCTAATTATATTAGAATTGATATAATAAGAACAAATCAAGTTCATATTGGTTTATTAAGTTATTGTTTATTTATAATAAGTGGTATCTTTTTCGTTGAGGAATGTTGTATAAGAGATCATTAATTGAATAATCATTTAAAATAATTAGTGAAGATATTGTTGAATAGAAGGAAGGTAACATTTTTTTATTGATTTAGAAGACAATGATACCAACTACTACAGTCTTATTTACATTTTGTCTTTTTGTATGTTAAAAATTTCACAGGATATTAAAATTGTATTTGCATATTAGTATATGTAATTTCTTTATTTCTCTCTCTATATAACTAATCATAAATTCTACACTCGACTGACGTCACTAATACGAATAATAAATAATAATAATTATTATTATTGAATAGTCATTGTAACTAATGATTACTGTAATAAACAATAAGCGGAAGTTTTCATTTTTGTTTGTCTTAATTATGTAAAATACATTTAATATCAGTTTACATCATGGATACATTAGTTAATAATGAATTACATAATACATTAAGATAAAAGTCAAACTTGAATAAAATGTAAATGTGAATAGATTGAGTGTTAAATGATGTAATTGTTTATGGGAATCTACTTATCGTACAAGATATTCTCATATGTTTTATTGAAGAAAAGAATTTAAGGAATAAGGTTTTTAATCAATTTGACTTTTAAATGTTGTAACAAAAACATTCTATTCATTTTAATCGTCTTATCATATTCACTAAATCTATTGTTATTACTCGTATTACGTAATCTACTATTACAATCTTTCTATTGCGTCATCTTGGTTATTCGTTTTTACATTTCTTTACGGAATTTGTACTTTAACAAAGAAAACAATTTTCTTCACATATATACGATTGTACAGCTTGATAATAAATTCGTTGAAAAGAGATCGCTTTGCTGATTTTCATGTTTTTTTATTTTTCATGAATACTGTCACAAAGACTGAGATAGCACAAGAAATATGATACTATTATGTAAAAGTGATTTGTTTAACAAATAATAATTGCCCTAGGTAGGCTTTTTGTGTCCACCAACCCGGTTAAAGCGCCGGACATTCACTTTTCGTCCTCTCAATATGGTGAACAACACCCCCGCTACGAAAAGGCAGTGAGCAGGACTTCCCTGGCAGAGGTTATATACGCCTGACCGTATGAGAGCATTTCTAGAGGGAGAGCAGACTCTCCCTACTCTCGGCCATACCATGGCATTTAGGGACCTAAACTGAAGTAAATTTTGGTTATCTAAACTTTACATTATTGATCGTTGTTGAAATTTATTTATTCTGGTTAAAGAAACGAATCGTTATTTAGTTGTTACCCTTTATATTATAAAGATAGACATGTATGTGGGAAAATATATATTGAGTCATAACCATTTTTCTCTTTCATAAATTTAATAATATTCTAAACTAATTTGTCGACAGTTATTATTTATATCGACCAACAAGTTGATTTATGATTTTTCTTTCATAAAAAAGGTTGTCATAATTTTACACAAAAATTTTCATTAGTTATATGACGTAATATTGAGATTTGTTGACAAGGGAAACCTACACACACAAAAAAATCATATAACTGTCTTTATATGAACAAAAGTCAGCAATTACTTTGAGTGTTAAATTTTAACATAATGTCACTAATGTCAGCTACTCAAACACTAGTTTTGTTGACTGTCAAAATTTCTTTACAATGTAAGGTGTTAAAAAAGAACAATCTCATGAAATGTATTTCCGAAAAGTTCTAAACAGTAAGCTATTACTTTTTATATCAATCATATCAGAAGTAAGATAGGAAATAAATGATTCCATTCAATAAATATCATACCATAATTCTAATTTATATTCATTGTTCGGTTTTAATTTTATAGTTTTTAATCACTGAACGATCTCAGTAAGACAATTGCTGAAAACTTGGAAACACTGAACAATTGTTTCGTCCTAGAATGAGACTCCTTAACAGTCCGCGTCCAATTTCATGGAGAAAATCTAATCCAAGGTCTTTAGGTCTTATAGCGACCGATTAACGCTTAAACTACTGAATTAACATCCAATGATTCATATGTCTAATTTTAGTCAATTCACTGTAATACAATATCACTATGCGATATCGTTGATAATAATTATCGCACACTCTTCAATAAATACTAAGTAGAACACTTTAATTTTATACACTTGATATGTTATATATAGCTTATGAAAGCCTTTTATAAACATTACTGGAAGTAGAAGTCTTACATTATGGAGCTTTTTTGAGTTAATATAATTATTTATAGATTATTTTTTGCTTATGAATCGATCAAATTAAAAATTAAAAAAAATTATCACATATTTACTTAACATTACACATTCGTATTTAGATTGTAATGAACTATTTTTCTAGTTTCGCATAAGATTGACAAATGTAATTCAAGAAGATAGAAATTGTTTACGTTCTCTTAAGTAAAATCTATGAATGTTGCTTTTTTTTCTTTTAGTTATCTTGTAATGTGTAATCATCACATAGATATAAGTGATTATCATAGGGTAAAATTAATTGCTGTTTTGCTTAACATGATTAGTAGTTCATGTATAACGTAGTTAAAACTGTGAAAACCGGATAAGCATTCTATGTTGAAAGGAGTAAGTGTATAACTCAGTAATTCAGTTATATGTATTAGTTGAAGTATTTAATGTATTAATATTGTAAAGCTTGTCCATTCACTAAATTATTGATTTACTATTATCAATTTCTACTGAATTCAGTACATTAAAATCTTACTATAGATCAGGTAAGTAAATATGAAACAACTTGGTGTACTTTTAATGTAGTGAATAATTAGTGTTTGGATCTATAGCAGATCTTTTATTGGTGCATAATAAGATCCATCTATTTTAAGTCTGATTGTATCAATCTTTGTTCAGTTATACAGTAACAAGTAACCAACTGTGTTCATAACTATGAACGTTATCTGGATTTATGGTTTGTACACTTACAACACCCTCTTTGACCGTTTGTTGTCTTGTGTTTATGATAGTTTTATTTAGGTTTTTCTCTCATTGTGTGCTATTTTACAAAAGTAGTTAATTAAATAAATTGGAAGCATTGGACAGCCCTTTCGTCCTAGTATGGGATTTGTCAGTAGTATGTACCCAAGATCTCACACCGAAGGGATACAAACCAAGGACCTTCGGTCTCACGTGAGAACGCTTAACATCTAGACCACTGATCTGGCCGTCATCCAACGGTGTTAATGTCCAACTTCAATCAATCCATGATCTTGCGCAACCGTTCACTCATGAATTTAATTATTAAAAATTACTACAATCTCCACAAACCCCTGTTCTAATAATAATCATCATGTGCCCACTAGTGACTGGCTTCAAGATGGATTTCCTGGAGTTCTAGCGTCATGACCAGTGGAGTCAGATCCGTGTCGAGTAGAGACAGGTGTCTCCCTCAGACAGTAGATGAATGGTTGCACAAGATCATGCATCGATTGAAGTTGGACATCGACACCATTGGATGCCAGCTAGATCAGTGGTCTAGAGGTTAAGCATTCGTGCATCAGTCCTAAGGTCGTTGATTCGATTCCCTGTGTTGTGGGATCGTGGATGTTCACTACTGAGTAGTCCCATACTATGGCGAAACGGTCGTCCAGTGTTTTCAGATTTTTAGTTGTTGTAATGGTTGTGTAGCATAGATGGTCTCATGAATTCAACCATTAAAAATTACTACTACTACTACTACACAAACCCCCATTCAAACAGTCGACTAACTGATCAGTAGATTCAGGAGTTGATGGGTAATTAATCAACAGTAATAGATTGAATTAACCCGATGTATTTTAATTCCCTTTTTAATTTTCGCACAGTTTTGTTCAAAGATTTGTGTTTTTTTTGTGTGTAGACTATTATCTGATTTCATATCAGACTTGTAATCAGATGGTAACCATAAAGAAAAACGAATTATTAACTTTTATTCCAGTAACAATTATATTATCTATTTGCAGAATTTTTGGAGCCTCTATGTGTTTTTATAAGTATAAGAGATTATTGAATGTTTTGTACCCAGTCAACCCATAACAAATATAGCCTATTTAGTAAATCAAATGTATGAATCATAAACTATAAAAACCTACTATATGTTTACTTTTGCTAAGAATGGTGTCGTCAATCGTTTATTTATACAAAGCTAACAAATAACATAATTTCAAAGAGTAGTTGATTTGAGAAGATTTTTCTTAACACTGTATGAGATGACGGTAGGTAGGTGGTGTATAAATTTATTGAGAGGTTACAATGTATTACATAATGAATTGCCCATTTTTATCTTCCGGTATGTTTTGCAATCTGATGTGTCTTCTTGACCGACCGTTAAGTTTTCTGCCAACGTCGTACTTTTGATGCAGTGAAACTTTTCACTCTTTTCGAAAATTGTTGCAACTTCGACACCACTTTCCGCTATACACCACTTACAAGCATCCTTATGAGTAGCGTCCACTACAATACGACAAAGCTGTCACTTTTGTGTAATGATTCGTTCTTTGAGTTAGATAGTTTGATTGAGAAGCTTTAAATGCTATCACCACCTTTGTTTCACTTTAACTGTAATGCAAATATAACCTTGTAAATAAATACTTGTTCATAAACTTGACTTTGATGTACTATGTATGTGAATAACACCTTATTATACTACTCGACTACTCATATCGGATTGTGTGAAAAAAATTACGAAGTGGCAACCCAACTTGAGGAATAAGATTTTCACATAGCTTACTGTAATCTGAAAGCCTGAAAGTTGATATCCAGCATGAGGCACGGAATTCTGTGATATTTATCGTTCAAAATTTATTACTGACTTACTGTAAAATGAAATTTACCATTACTCCTCTATTCAGAGAGGAGTTACTGAATAAATTCACTTTGTGAATAATCATTTTATCGATAATGAAGAAAATCCTTTTTATTTTATACAAAGTAGACAGTAATCGCAAACAAGGAAAGAACTATTCAAAAATATTATGAAACGGGAAGAATAATTAGTCAATTAGTTATCTTCAATGTAGAGTCTGACACGGATATACTTTGGTTCAAGTTGGGATAACATTAGTATGATGAGATGCTTATAGTAGGATGAATACTAAACAAGATCAAAACAATAAGGTATCAATGATAATAAGAAAGACTAGACATTGAGAATATAGTTCGGATAAACGAAGTGGATAGGAATCTGTAAATAACAATATATGATAAATAGATAAATAGTTTTCATTGAATGCACCCCCTAATAGTCTGTATTAGAATAGTTAACTATACTGTTCGGTTATTGTTTTAGTTAATAAATTTAATTCATTTACTAAAATGTCAAAATTTTAATGGCCATCTGACAAAAAACACCCAGAATAGAATTGATAAGAAATAAAGAAGGACATTTCGCTGTCATAAAAAATTATTGAAACACACGTTCACATTTCATAAAGAATATTGCTTAATTAATTTCTATAGTTTGGTAACTATTCCAACTGTTTTTGATAAAACGTTTTAAATTTTCTAACTCTGTTCGATTATTTTGAATTGCAGGGGGTTGACTTCTTGGAAAGACTCGAATCATACTGGAATTCATATTAGTTGGCTTTTTTCAATAAAGAAAGGCCAAATATCGTAGCGGAATAACATAGATTCATCTATTTCTTCGATTCTCTTCAGCTGTTTACAACCTGAAACCAAAGCATTAATCATTTGGACGAAACAAGTACACATACATTCATAGTAGATTAGGTTAATATATGGAGACAGAATAATATTAAGAGAGTAATACGGAAGAATTAGCACTGTTCAAAAGTTCGTTTGATTATAGGTTAAATATAAAAATATTCTGAAAAACATTTATAGATTATGTAATATAGACTAGTTGAGTAAACTTCAGAATTAAGAACTCAGATATTAGAATTCTAATTAAAGTTTATGCCAATGTCTTACGAATTGATCTTACAACAATGAGATCACCAGGGTAAAACAATATTAGTAACTATCCCTTTTTAGATACGTAAACTGGGTTTGGATCTTTTTATTTCAATAACTTCGAGAAAGCGTAACAATTTTAGGTATTTTTGTTTACTGATCATTTTGAGAGATTTCGAAATTTCAACTTCATCTTCACTATCAAGCAAAGTACGAGCAAGCGCTTTGTAAAAAACCTTCTGTCCGTTAAATCTTAATTTCATGTATTATGATCGGAGATGAGGACACAAACGTTCCTCTCTGTTCTTCCTCTGTATGTGCTTTGTAGCATACATGCAAACCAGTAAACACAATTAGCGGTAACATAAGGCCAGTGTCTGTCCGCATTTGTCTGTCTCAATGACGATTTATTTCAGTATAAAAACACTAAATTGGCCGCTAGATACGTCCATTTTAGCATTTCCTGTAGTCTAAAATCAATAGTCCCAGTTATTTCATCGCCTTTGAAACAGAGTTTTAGGACGACTAGCTTTTCCGAACGATATGATATTCTGATTATTGTTGTTTTGTATTTTTCTTCTATTTAGAAACATGATACTTTGTAAAACTTTCATTTAAACTATAAATCAGTTACTAGTTTCAATAATATTTTGTAGAATCAGTTCTCTTTACGAAATTAAGAAAATCCAAAACAATAAAAAAATCAGAATATTATGAATCCACTTAAATTCGCGGTTTCACCTCAGCTCCTAACAAATGTTTTCTATTCCCTTCAAAAAGCAGAATACAAAGGAAATTTAAGAGGCATATGTATATATAGATATATATATCATAACATATGTTATTCATTTTAATAAATAATTCAATGGATTTGTTTGTTTTGTTTTCTTTCGAAATTCCAGACGAAAGGTTTCCATTAAAGGAGCACCTAAACTCATAGATGAAAAATTTTTTGCTTGGGAAAATCGAGTAGGTCAGATGTTAAAATCATGTGCAGCTGTTGGACATAAACGATGCACAACAATCAAATATGAATCATTGGTACTCAGACCAAGTGAAGTTCTGCGTGAACTGTTTGGTAAGCGGCACATGTGTTTATCACTAAATCGAAATTGTCAACTTAATTATCATTTTCACTTTATCATAGAATATTTCTAGAATAGAGTGATGCGTAGCTTGAGTCCAAAGATATTTCAAGTGTCATCTGCAGAAGTAGACCATTATGATTTGGAGCGCTTTGCTAACGAGAAGGAAGGAAGAAATCAACAACTTCACAACTTTGTGATGCATAACACCAAACAGAGTAACGTCAGTCGAACAATATTTCACTGGCTCATCGACTGTCCTCATTTATATCGAGTAAATGTCTAGGCCTTAACACATCGCTGAAATGTGGCACACCATGATTATTGTGAGAAAGCTGTTTCAGGTATATTGATTCCAATTAGTTGAATTACATACAAATTTTCCCACTGATAAATAGCACTAAAGTAAGAACAATTATCATGTTTAAATAACAATAAATCATTGAATTTCATGGTTTCTCATCAGCTGCTCACAACCTAAGCACAATAGTATTATTCATTGGGAATCAACTTACATATTTCATATCATGACATCGTAAAAATGCTGATCAGTGAGGAAATTCTGCAACCAGCAATAAGTATGAATAAACCACAACTGATATTTAGATACTAAATAATCATCTTCAAGATAATCAATGAACAAATAACTTTAAATGTATTACGATCTGATGAAGCGACTGCCATGAAAAGATACAGATCAAATCTATGCACCCAAAAGCATTAAAACACCAATCTTGTTATGTCATGATGACCTAATATGTTTATTATTCGATTCTTCTAGTGATGATAATTATTCATCTTCGCTTCTTATTTGGTCTGTACTCAGTTAATCGATTTTGTTTTAAGTGTCGCATAAATATAATACTAATATCTCATTCCTTAATATTTCTGTTTCTGTAATCCCAGTTGTTTGTTCTAGAATATTTTTACATTCAACCTACAATTATTCACATTATGTAACATCATCATCCCTTACAGTTCTTCCATAGTTTTCATCTTTTACTTTGATACTTATCAATCAGAACATTACTGACATTATGAGATGAGGTATATACACTAATTTCTGATGATTAATATTGCTATATTTAAGTCGTATGCAACTGAAGAGAATGAGCGTGATAAGTCAACTTATAGTTTCATATGAGTCGTCTGTTCTTCACCTTGCTGTTTCATCGATATTTTCATTTGTATTGATAAAAAAAATATTTACCTAATGAATGCGACCTTTCTATTCCACAATATTACCTAAAATAAAGTGAACTTATCAACATATATTACAAATCCAATTGTCAAAATCAGTAATACTTTATGCAGTGCATAATTCACACATCCTTTAATCACTGACTAATCCACATATATATGGACATAACTAACCATATTTTTCATCCCTTAAATTTATTTTGAAACGCATGAGAATGATTTAAAAATCATTATGACGTAGTAGGTTCACGGGTGGTGTGTTATCCCAGTGCAATAAAATGGAACTATCAAACCCATGTCTTGTCAACTGAAGTGAAATAATATCAATTCACTTTATTTCATAGTTTTCACCAGCTGTTTACAACTTCACATGTCTACGTTCCCCGAGTATGAAGGTCAGTGAAAAATTCAAGTAAATAAGTGAAACGGGGTGAAATATCAACTAACTTGTGTTGGAAAATCGATAACTACAAATAGTTTCGTAAGAAATGAGATAAAATATTTTGCACACTAATTAACATCAGTGAATCTATTTCGAATGTCAATACTTGCAGGTATTTTGAACACCTCAAAAATGAACAAAACTCATTCACTTTATTATCACAATAAAGCACATTTCAAATTATAATTGTCTTATTCACTCATTTGTATATATTTGTTTCTATAGAATTCCTCGAAATACCATGGGATTCAATCGTTCTTCATCATCAAACGGTCATGAATAATAGTTCTCTAAGCAAGTAAGTCACGTGGATAATGAATTCATTTGCACGTGGTTATAAAATGATACTTGCTAATAAACTGATTCACCTCATTCTGATCAGCTTCCAAAGAAATTCACAAATATCACACTAATCACAACACAGTAATCAGATAATTGTAAATATCTCAATCTTATATCAGGTCAGTAACTACTCAAATCACTCAGTGACAATATCTAAGATCGTGTAATTCGTTGATGACGATTATTCGAAACTCATAGGGAACATCGGTTTCTTCACGATAACAGATACATCTGAGTATTGGTGTCAACTAGTATGAAACGTAGGTTGAGTGATTCCTGTCCACAATCTCCAACTACCTAACACATTTAAAATCATTTTATCTCGAAATTCACTCTTCGATCGAATGAATGACTTCAATAGAACATTTCGTAGAAGAGCTTTTCTGGCAAAAAATGACAGTTTGTTTATCCAAATTACTGATAAGTTATTAAATCCGACTGAGTTTCGTCTGCATTTGATGGAGAAAAATGTGCCAAACACCTACATCTCATTGACAGAAACATCACTAGTAGTTGCAACATCATTAGAGTAGAAATCCTGAATCTCAGAAAAAATCATAATCTACATAGTTTTCGATGCAGACACTGTTGTCCATTAGTCTATCATTTATATTCATCTCATGTGACGAAATTCACGTCTTCTCAGTTAACCACTTTTCTTGTTGTTTATATACACTCACACACACAGACTCGAACCGAGTACTTCACAAGTTGTTCATCCAATCCACTTGGCCTCACTAACTTCATGGGCTTCCAGTGGATCAGTGTTACCTGAATCCTTCATCTCATCAATACACAGAGAAAGTGATGTACTGAAAACACTTGGTTACGCTGATTTGGGTGTACCACCTGATTACGGTACTCCAGAGAACCAGGTGGTCAATATAACTAGTCACCTGATCAATGATCCACAATTCAGACGGATATTCTAACTGCTGTTATGGTTGTCTGTGATGTTGATGGTTTGTGGTAACATTTTGTATTGTAGTAATCTTCTACTTTTTATTTTCTAACTTTCTCTTCATGTAACTTCATAATAATAATTATGAGATTTGTGGAATTTCTCTCTATCTCTTTCTTTTTTGAAGAATATTCAACCAACATATCTTTATCTGTGATTATGGTCCTTTATAGTTTCTATGTTGACTTTGTTTTATTTTTATATACATACGATATGTGATAACAAGAAATTATTTTTTGAATAATAAATTTTGAATCCAGTTTATTATTTTAAAGGAATAACAAGTAGATATATGAGTGAGACATTGTATAAACGAAATTTCGAAGTATTGGCCAGTCGGTATTTTTGAATTTATATTTGAATAAATTTTTTAACTATTTAGTGTTTTATTTTTGATCGTTTTGAATTAAGCGGAATGTTTTGAAATTCTCAGGATCTAAATATTTATACTATTGAACCGTTTGTTGTCCGAACTAAATTAAGGGTTACTTACCTCAACAGTTGATAATACTAATGAAATTTTTTAGTAATTATTGAGTACATGAAGTTTCACAATCCAAATGGAAATATAATCTAAAGAACTATACAAACATTGTGCTTAAATATCATAAAATAATAGTTGAGTAGCAGTGATAACGAAAAGGACTAAGCACTAAGAACACGGTTCAAAGAAACAGGAAGAAAACGTATGTATGTACTAGTACTTGAGCTAATGGTCTAAAAACGACAAAGAGCGGATGCGTTTGGGGATTTGTGATCGAGTCTGAGATACAAACAATGTATACTATAATTATTAATCATGTGTTTATGTAATTTAATGAACAATAAACAATTGATCTAAGGAGCGTTTAAATTACAGTTTTATATAAACTTATGTAAATGGATAACCATGTGAATATTGTGATGAGTTGTTATACGAGATAACATAATAAATGAACTGGTAGTATCAGTGGAATCCAGAACACATTTTTCATCATGTATGTGACTCGTCAGTTGTTTGTACTTGTATTTATACATTCGATAAGTAGGACAGATTTGGATTTCGTATATTATTTATCTAAATTTATCTTGTTTAAATCATTCATTTAAAATACGATATTTTGTCGATCGAATTTTCCTTTTTTTATCAGTAACTTTATTGCTTGAGTGGTAGTTAAACATTACAGTATTATTAAATTGTGTCTGAAAAGTTGGCATGTCACTCACCCAGATAATTGTTTCCTGTGACTAGTTTTAAACATAGAATAACAAAGTTTATTAGAACTGGGGATTTTAATTACTGAAATCAATAGTAGTTATTGATAGGTCAACACAGAGCACTGCTAACACTGTTCATAATTTCCATTGGAAATCCCCTAACAAAACAACAACATATGAATCAAAGGTGATGAAATTAATTAGAAGAAAACAATTGATGGAATGGATAACTCAAATAAAATGTTTTTTAACTTCATTAAGTAATGCAAGACACACTTGAAGTGGTATGTTTGGAAATTGTAAAGATATTTTGTGAAAGATCATCAATAACCTAGAAACCAAATTCCTTTATGTTCACATATATCAGACGTCAGAAATCAAAATCTGAAGGTAATTATTATTAAATAAAGCTATTGTAATTGTCACAAACTTCATTATATTTAGTTATAAGCTATGAAGACCAAAGAACAAATGTATATTTGTCACGTACAATGTTGGTTAATTCAAAGTGTTAAATATATTTCTTCATTCATTATAGAAGGAATGCTTCCTTTAATGTCCAAGATCTTATAATGTCCTATTTTCATTCTTGTTTATTAAATGCACGTAACTACAGTCATTCTTTAACAGTTTTATATCAAAGATCCTAGCACAAAATATGATGCAATAACCAATTAATTTATCCAAATAAAGAACACCTTATTTATAGTTTCTTGTCAAGTGATGATATATTTGTAAGTTTAAAAACTGATATACATATCATGTGTACAAACTGTATGTGGGAAAGTACGTTTAATCCAGTGCATTTACTAATCATACTACAACATCAAAACGATCCAAAATACTGAAGTTTGGGAAAATAATTGTCTAAGGACTGTAGAACCTGTGTATACCATACACGATTAACTATGGATCTTCTAGGATTATCCAATCGAGTATTACTCATTACTTGATTCGAAAATGTTTAATAATTAATTGTTTTTCATGTACATGTGTATCTGGTTGAAAAAATGTGAATTTACTTCATATATGCCCAACGAGAAGTGACTTGTCAGCAAATTTGGGTGTGTCTTGTTTACTACCGAGTTGCATATCTGACAGACAATTAGTCAGATATATATTTTAGATATCACGTATTGAAAAGTTGTTTTGTTTGTAGGTTACTTATATTTTTGTAAGTAAACGACAGTCAATGACAAATTTGGGTGTAAGACAAGACATGAAATATTGATATTTAATTGCCTTTTTCTGATAAGAGGTAACTTTGGCTTTCAACCACTTGGTCAATATTAGAGTCATCTACATATCTAGACAATACAATTTGATTCAATCAAGCAAATTAGTCATTGTCTAAGCTCTAAATTCTCGCCGAATACAGTAAATGGTATAAGAACAATTATGTTCATTTAGATGTTATGTGAGTGGAGGCAGTCGCCCGGTAACTTTCGACCTAGGTTTCATGCTAGTTGGCATGCTTCATCACTACGTTACTTCACTTCTAAATATGATACACAGGATGTCGAATTACTTAGACTAAGCGGACGTATCGCGACTTCATCAATAAATTTGATCAGGAGTAAGGAACAGGCAAACATGACATTGATCAACATGCATTAATTAGTCAAATTTATGTGAATTATGTTAGAACCATTAAATCTTGCTCACTTCTGAAATATCATCCTGTATAATAAACATGTAAAGATTAATTCGACTGCTGCTGTGACAAACTCTTTTCGAATAAAAAACTACTGTAATTAAGATTATTAACACAATCAAGGAACACAATATATACTTTGACATATTATTTATAGAAACGATCAGTAGTTTGATACATTAAGAACTAGAAAATTCATTATCAAGTGATGAACATGAAATTCTGACAAAATACAGCTTATTGTATAACTATACTTCATATATCAACCATAGCTCTATATCTAATATGTTAAATCTTATTAGATTTCTTGATAAAATGAGTTTACTTTTCAGTGCATATCAAAAATTTGCTTTGAAATCTTTTAATATTCAACATCAAAATTGTTTTAATTTTGCAGTTAAACGATTAAGATTGTAGGAATATTGAAAACAAAAGACATTTTTGTGAACAATTAAAAATTAAATGAAGTGTTTGGCGTTTATCTAAACCTTTTTGATTAATAAATTACAAATATAAAGATCTTTCATTTCAAAATATTCGTAAAACGTAAGATATTTATCCTTTAAAAAATTATTTTAAAAATATTAACTGTTTCGATTAGTTCTACTGTATGGGATGGAAACCTGGCGAACTACAGAAGCCATCATCCAGAAGATACAAGTGTTTATTAACAATTGTCTACGCAAGATACTTCGGATCCGTTTACCAAACACTATCAGCAGCATTATACTGTGGGAGAGAAGAAACCAGATTCCAGTGGAGAAAGAAATCAAGAAAAAGCATTGGAAGTGGATAGGACACGCATTGAGGAGAGCACCCAACTGCGTCGCAAGACAAGCCCTCACACTGCATCCTGAAGGCCAAAGGAGGAGAGGAAGACCAAAGAACACATTAGGCTGAGAAATGGTGACAGACATGAGAAGAATGAACGAAGGTTGGGTAGAACTGGAAAGGAAGGCCCAGGACAGAATGGGTTGGGGAATGCTGGTCGGCGGCCTATGCTACGTTAGGAGTAATAGGCGTAAGCAAGTAAGTAACTGTTTGGATTGTATTACAGAAGTTAAGGAATGTGTTTCTTACTAGTTGTTAGTCATCATTAAAGTATATCCTCATTCTTGTTGGAACTGATGCCTCCAGTGATGTTTAAACTGACATTATGCGGTATCATTGTCATAAAGGCTACCATCAAACTATTTATAATACAACCTATTTAATTTAGGGCTGAGATGTTTGCTGTGGCTGACAACTCCTTCCTTTTTAAGTGTATCACTCAGAATGACAATTAGGACATGGTGAAACAAAAACAAACTATGTGATTCAGTATATTTATTATTGTATAATATTGAACTGTTATTGATAGATAACTGGAACTGTTTCTAATTGTCAATGTCTTCTACCATTTAGAAATGATACCGATCAGCTGGACTGTGTACACATAATAAGCGTTCGGGTGTGAAACCGAACCCCAGTTGCACGTGTGGAATCGTGGATGCCCACTACTGAGAACTCCCATACAAGGACGAAACAGCCTTTCAGTGCTTTCATGTTTTCATAGGTGGTCTGGCTTAGGTCGACTCGTGAATTCAACTGAAAACCACTTTACATTGATAGAACAGTTTTCTGATAAAAATCAAGCTGAAAATTTCACGTGTCAATTAATTTAAGTGCCTGGAAGTAGTTGATAGGAAATCCTGAATTTTAGTTTCTTGTTACTTGGCACTTATCAATAAGAAACACCTGTAGTCTTGTGAGAACTGGTACTCCTTATATGATTTGAACACTCGTTACGTAGTTCACGAAAGTCAACTAGCACGAGAATTAGATCGAGGTTTCCTATTGACTCCCCCCTAATAGCTTAATATCTCAGCATAGTGTCACTTATATTAGTGACGCCATTGCTAATTGATAGGTGGACAATCTTGAAACTGGTCACTAGTTAGTAATCAATCATTTGCAAAGTCTTTGATTTCTTATAATGTTCAACTTGATTAGAGACTGTAATTCAACCGATAAGATGAATGCCTTTACTCTATTATGAGTTTGGACTCAACTTTACGTTGATCATAGACACACTTAGAAGTGATACATTTAAAAAAAACTGAACAATAACCAGGTCTGTTAAATTTCGACTCAAATTGTTGACAACGTATAAAACATTGAGACGCCATGATTTATGTATCCGTACTTTAAAATATTAAGTTTTCATATATATTTAAGTTTATTCGGTTTCTTTTAAGACTGATGACACATTTCTTGACGTTTTTTAAATTCACTAAATATTTCTCATAAGACACTAAAAAAGCAAGTTTAGGAAATAAATATTTCTTCTCGATTGGTTCTTCATCAGGGCTCCGCACTAATTTATGTTTTAAAAATGAGTAGAAAGTCGATACCAATTAGATTGTGTTGGGTTAGTTTAACAATGTAATAATCAGTTAGTTACACTGCGTTTGCAAAATAAAAATAAAAAAAATTGAGACCCGTATATATACATGGAGACCTAAGAATTAGGCAATTTATCCTTATTTTATGAACTTATTATTAGCCGGCTCAGAGCCTATTAGAAACATTTAATGTAATCCATCAGATAATCAATTTCATAATGAGAGCATAAAAGTGTGACACCATCTTCTTTCTAGACATCGTATTGGCGAGAAGAACTCATGGCTTAACAAGAAGCGTTTATCGTAAACCGACTACATAAAGCCAGTATACACAATTTTCGAACTTAGTCCTCTTACAATATAATGAAAACTTAGTCCAATGTTTGAACTGATGATAATTTTGAAGAGCAATTGAAACCTATTCATGATTAACTACGTAAACACCGATACGCATCAAAATTTTTCGTGAGATATATGCCTACAACTACACGTAAAGTAAAACCACAGACAGCACCAAAAATACCTGTATCCTTGAAATCACAAGTCAAAAGTGTTGTAATCAGAGAAATAGCAACTGGATGCATATCAAAAGCTTTAGAACGTACATTCAGTGCTGCGAGAATATATCTTGCTTTCCTTAGCTGGCCAATAGTGAGATCATATTATAAGGATAAATTGCCTAATTCCTCAGTCTCTATGTGTATTTACTACTTCAACTGCTCTTGTGGAACTGATTATATTAGGCTTACAACTAGACAAATACATTATCGTATTTCTGAACATAGCCCCTCATGGTTAAACAAAGGACAAAAGAAGTAATAAGAATCTCTATCTTGGCACACCTAGTAGATGCTGGTTATCACATACATAAAACTTCAGCGTCTAAGGTTATTTATAATATCCCACTGAATTTTACCCATAATTCTAGAATCCGACTCTTACAACAGATATATATATATATATATATAACATGGTTTTAACCTTCTTTTCAATCTTCTATAATCTGCCGTTTTTTATTCCTTCTTCTGTCTTATTATTTTTGACAGTTATTAACTAACCATTATTCCAACTTTAAATCATTTCGTTCCTAATATCTAACAAGTGGATAATTATCTTCATCTTCGCACATTCCATTAGCCGTTGTATTCGTAAACGATTTTCTCCAATATCTTATTTTTGTAAAATAGTTTACAACATGATACCGTTCCAATTTTCTAATTGTTCGACATCATTCTATTTTCTCATGGACTATTATTTTCAACAAATAACTATAAAGACGATTGTACGCATTAAGTAATTCAAATCGTCGATACGAAAATTTTCTTTACTGAATTGTCTTCATGCTTCCTCTGTGATATAATTGGTCTCTATCGTTATTGAATAATAAATAGTTACGGCTGGTGGATTAAGAAACCAAATTAATAAATTACGTTATTCATAAACATATTATTATTCAACATATGCTTACTACTGACTGGCTACAAGAGGTATTTCCTGGAGTTCTAGTGAGAAGCAGTGATTAGTGGACGTCAACCGGGTCTATTGTGAGATAGTAACTCACTGAAGACTATGGTGGATGTGTCATTCAATGTCGTGGATTAGTTGAAGTTAGACACTTGCACTGTTGGATACCAGCCAGATCAGTGGTTTAGAGGTTAAGCGTTCGGGCGTGAAACCGAAAGTCCTGGACTCATACCAACTGCAGAGTCACGGGTGCGCACTACTGAGGAGTCCCACAATAAGAAGAAACGGCCGTCCAGTGCTTGCAGGTTTTCGATGGTGGTCTAGCTTCAATCGGCTCATGATCTCAACTATTAAAATCACGTTATTGTTTATTTGTTAAAAAATAATACTTGTATTTAATCGGTAAAATTGTGATAAGAAGTGATCGGACTTGAGGTAAAAAGATATTGAAAACAAAGATACTAAGGAAAAATGAGTTAAAATATTAATATAGTTAAAATAAACCCTACTTAAATTCCCAATAATAGAGTTTCCATGGAGTTTCATGTCTTTTTAAGTGAGTGTACATTTGTTTAGTTTAATGTATTGTATTTACTCACAAATATATAAAAACATATGTTTCTTAATGGGTCATCAGTGAAACTATTTCTTAGTCACTACAGAACAATACTGTTGTTTATTCTGAAATGATCAATATTCCACTTATATTCGTTAGCAACGTTTCTTATAATGAAATAAACATATGTATTTCGGTGTACCATCCACTCAAAAATTGTCTGTTTTTACTCTTATTTACTTTACCAGTAATTCTTAATTATAAGTAATGGATACCAGTGATTTCACTCTAAATAAAGTAAGCAAAGTCAACATGAAGTAACATAAATCTCTTTAGTGTATTCACTTCATATAGTTTACTAGCATATTTAAAGCCTTATTAAGTAATCACACTTAACTCAGAGACTGTTGTGATCTTTTACAGTTGAGAGGTAAACTGTTAAACACAAAGTATTAGAGAATATGATATTAAATGCCTATGTATCTGAAAACTTATAATCACTTTCACAGAACTTTTATCTGACTATTTGTGAAGAGAAATTCACTGTACACTGACATTTCGTTACTATGTAGCGAGGAATTAAGGGCCTCAAATTCAAAAGATATTAAAAAGTTCTTACAGCGGTCGAATCATACGTTTGAGTCACCTATGTTCCAAATGTGTGAATGCTACAACTAACCACCTGTTATAAATTAGTTAAAACAAAATAACCATGAATGTTAAATGTATGTCCTTAAGGAAATCAGAAGTAAATATATTGATAATCAGGCACATTATATATGGTAGGTAGACAAAACGTTTGAACAGTTGAACTGTTAGACATTCCACAAATCTCATTATTATTATTATTATTATTATTATTATGAAGTTAGAAGTATGAAGTTATATCAATAGGAAGTAAGAAAATACAAAGAAGAAAATTACTGCAATACAAAATGTCACCATAAACAATCACCATCACCGAAAACCATAACAGTTAAAAATAATTAACACTTGAAATCTTTTTAATGTTATTTTAAATCTTTAACAATAAATTGAAAATGTTCACATTTCACAATAACTAGAAATACACTTCTCGACATTTATAACAACAAACGATTTGAGAAGAGTATGCACACATACTTTACAAGTATCACGTAGTTAACACAAAACATTGTTGACAACGGAAGTAAAATATCACACGTAAAATATGCAGTTGGAATACCATCTAAATTGTGGGTCATTGATCAGGTGACTAGTTATATTGACCACCTGGTTCTCTGGAGTACCGTAATCAGGTGGTACACCCAAATCAGCGTAACCAAGTGTTTTCAGTACATCACTTTCTCTGTGTATTGATGAGATGAAGGATTCAGGTAACACTGATCCACTGGAAGCCCATGAAGTTAGTGAGGCCAAGTGGATTGGATGAACAACTTGTGAAGTACTCGGTTCGAGTCTGTGTGTGTGAGTGTATATAAACAACAAGAAAAGTGGTTAACTGAGAAGACGTGAATTTCGTCACATGAGATGAATATAAATGATAGACTAATGGACAACAGTGTCTGCATCGAAAACTATGTAGATTATGATTTTTTCTGAGATTCAGGATTTCTACTCTAATGATGTTGCAACTACTAGTGATGTTTCTGTCAATGAGATGTAGGTGTTTGGCACATTTTTCTCCATCAAATGCAGACGAAACTCAGTCGGATTTAATAACTTATCAGTAATTTGGATAAACAAACTGTCATTTTTTGCCAGAAAAGCTCTTCTACGAAATGTTCTATTGAAGTCATTCATTCGATCGAAGAGTGAATTTCGAGATAAAATGATTTTAAATGTGTTAGGTAGTTGGAGATTGTGGACAGGAATCACTCAACCTACGTTTCATACTAGTTGACACCAATACTCAGATGTATCTGTTATCGTGAAGAAACCGATGTTCCCTATGAGTTTCGAATAATCGTCATCAACGAATTACACAATCTTAGATATTGTCACTGAGTGATTTGAGTAGTTACTGACCTGATATAAGATTGAGATATTTACAATTATCTGATTACTGTGTTGTGATTAGTGTGATATTTGTGAATTTCTTTGGAAGCTGATCAGAATGAGGTGAATCAGTTTATTAGCAAGTATCATTTTATAACCACGTGCAAATGAATTCATTATCCACGTGACTTACTTGCTTAGAGAACTATTATTCATGACCGTTTGATGATGAAGAACGATTGAATCCCATGGTATTTCGAGGAATTCTATAGAAACAAATATATACAAATGAGTGAATAAGACAATTATAATTTGAAATGTGCTTTATTGTGATAATAAAGTGAATGAGTTTTGTTCATTTTTGAGGTGTTCAAAATACCTGCAAGTATTGACATTCGAAATAGATTCACTGATGTTAATTAGTGTGCAAAATATTTTATCTCATTTCTTACGAAACTATTTGTAGTTATCGATTTTCCAACACAAGTTAGTTGATATTTCACCCCGTTTCACTTATTTACTTGAATTTTTCACTGACCTTCATACTCGGGGAACGTAGACATGTGAAGTTGTAAACAGCTGGTGAAAACTATGAAATAAAGTGAATTGATATTATTTCACTTCAGTTGACAAGACATGGGTTTGATAGTTCCATTTTATTGCACTGGGATAACACACCAGTGTGTTGAGCAATGTAATCACTAGAATTATGGCTTATTGTAAATATGCCGTAAGAATAAGTCTTAGCAAAAACAAAACCCAAGTTTGACCTTTCTTAATATGTACTATTGGACGATTATTAGTAAACAGATTATCGTTTGGCATAACCAAGAATACTAGTGTTCTTATGTTGTACGAAGAAAATAGGGTTTTAAGAAGAATCTAGATAGCAGAATTATGTTTACGGACAGGCTTTTTTCAACTTGAGTACTTATATTTGACTACATAATATGCATTTAATGTATTATACAGAATATATAGTTTAGAATACAACTCTTAAAGCATAAACTTTGTGCACTCTAAAATCATACGCTTTAGTACAAGTTTATAAAATGCGTTGCTGTAATCCAAGAAATTTTTGGTTGAAACTAAGAATTTATCGTTATGACCGATATAAGTACGAGATGCTCTTAAGGTGAGCTTAGTAACAATTTGGTTAATACTCTTAACTTTGAATTTTCTGAAAGATCATCAGCATTCGATACAATATGAACAATTTATAAACTTAGATCTAAAGCATCATAATGATTATTTCTTACCACAGAAAAAATAGTTACAACTAAATATTTAGTAACCTGGCTTTATGATGGCTATTTGAAATCAGTATTCAAAATACTATAACAACTAAGATTTAAACATGAAAGTGATTAGTATACAGTTAGAATATCGTTTTTAAGGCAGAATGGTTAATGTTACCTAAAATATATTGATATGAACAAAGTAACTAGGGCAGAAAATTATTAATTTTTTAAATTCGTAATTTGCTGATTTAAAGTGTTTTAATTGGCAAGTTAAATTGAAATGTTAAAAAGCGCCACTATAATTTTAATGCAAGAATATAAAACAACCACAAATTGTAGAGAAATTTGAATAATGCTTTTTGCAAGGATATTTAAATGAATCAGGAGTTCTGGAATGAAATAAAGTATTGTTCTTTTTGTTTTATACAAATGAGAACAAATGAGTGGTAACCATTAGGAATTATCTATGGACTAATACTGTACGAATATTCTTATTGTATGATTATTGAGTGACTATATTATATGTATATTTATATTCCTTTCATTATAAGCTTTTATTTGACCTATTATCATACGATTTATTATTCTTGAAATATATCCCGATCTATTAGTAACAGTTTCTCATAATCACAACCACTTTTGGCTTAATATTGTACAAATGTTATTTTCTATTTTATGTTGTGCTGTGGCCTGATTTGCTTGTATATAAACCAAGTATGTTTGAAATATATAATTCGTATCGTGGACACTGGGATTGGTGAGGCTAGGCGGAAAAAAGATCAATCGGAACTCTAAGCTACCCATACTAGCGTATGCGTCATTAGATTGTTCGTATAAATTAGTGTATCTAAATTGGCAATCGCATTTGGCGATAATCACGTAGTTAAGAACATAAAACTTTTGATAAGCTACCATTGGCCATAGTTATTCGTCTTTGATATTTTCATTTCAATTAAACGTTCATATTTTCAAAAATATAACACAATGCTTGATTTATTAATTAAACTACTCGAATTATTTCAACTGTATAAAATTACTAAAATCTCCACAAAACCTCCTCTTCTGATAATGATCAACATATGCTCACTACTGACTGGCTACAAGAGGTGTTTCCTGGAGTTCTAGTGGGAATCAGTAACCAGTGGAATTCAACCAGGTCTGTTGGGAGACTTCAACTCACTGAAGACATTGGTGAATGTTTGCTCAATTTCGTGGATTGGTTGAAGTTAGACATTAACACCGTTGGATGCTGTTTCAGTGGTATAGTGGTTAAGCGCTCGCGCGCGAGACTGATAGGTCCTGGGTTCGAATCTCGCAAGGCGGGATCGTGAATGCGCACTGCTAAGGAGTCCCATAGTGGGACGAAACGTCCATGCAGTGCTTCCAGGTTTTCCATAGTGATCTACCTTCAATTGACTCACGATTTCAACCATACTCGATTTATTTATTACTAACCATAATTAAAATTATAGTTTTCAAGCTATTGAGTTAATTTATTTCAATCAGGTTATTTTAATATTCAAAATATGTATTCATTTCTTGTTTGTTTGTAATGAATCATTTAATTTTGTATTACCATTTTTTAACAAAATGTTACTAAAATAATAATCCATTAAGATTCCAATTGCTTTTTATAGTAGATAAGATGTTGCAATGCATAAATAGGAAGTAACCGGTATTTCAATACACATGGACTAAATCAAGTTATCAGTCCTAAGAATCATCATTCTTTTTACTGAATAAGCTGGCATGTTTCGCTTCAACGTTTCTATTATATATTTTCTAGATATAAAAAGGAATCAAAATACATTATATAAATACAATTACCTTTGCTAGGGATTACTAGCTATATGTTTTAGACACCAAGATTGTAAGAAAAGTGGATTTTTGCCTTATATTTGGTCTTTACATTTATATCTAATAAAATAATTTACTGAATTATGGAGAATTTGATAGCAGAATATATTGTAGTGAAGGAGAACACAGGCAAGGATAACCAAACAAATTTGAGCACACATTTACAGAATTTCATAGTAAAATCTGAGAACCATACAGTAAATACTTTATTTGGGAAATGTCAATCAATTTTCTCATATTTCATTGTTCCTTCGTTTCCACACTAATTATTCTCTGTTCTCTTTCTCTTTTCTTTGATCTTAATAACTTTCTACCACCAGGCATTTTACTTTCGACTGATGATATATACTACTTGTATCTGTCGACATCAGTAGCACACACCACAATTTAATTAAATATTTTAAGGAAAATAGAAAATTTCTATTCATTTCAATAATAAGTACCAATGAGTTTTATAACAGACTATCAATACGAACTATGTATGTTTCATTCTAATTGCGATAATTTTAATTTGGATCTATCCTTTGATGATTATGTATTTAGATAACTAAAGTATTTGATTATGATGATAATTTCCTTTGAAAGCTTCATAGGATGAATAAAAAAACTTTAGTTTTTAATATTAGAAAATGATCTACAAGAAAACAAGAAACAAAAAAATATTTCTTATATGGATAAATAACACATTCTTGAAATTTAGAACACCTAATGTTTTTTATTTTGTGCACAGCTGTGCATAATTCAATTCTTCTACTTATCTGCCAAAGTTATTTGAAATACGCTCTACTGTCATTATCAAAATATGTATTGTAGATTGAAAAAAATGAGCTGGAGAGATAATAATATAATGTAGACATTAATGACATATTCAATTTCAAAGTGATTGGATTATCCTGTTGTTGATATTTTGACTTCAATTTGATCGGTCTTCGTTAGCATATGGGAATGTTATGAGCATTTTCTGAATTCAATCATCATTGAACTAAAACTAGTCTCTGTTGGACAAGTGAGTGATTACCTGGACTCAGTGGCTGAGTGACTAACAGTACAGCATCTGTAGTGAATTTTAATCAATTCAAGTTCCGGAGTGAACATCAACTCTGGGATGTAGGTATTTTTAGTATTTTGATTGAAGTGAGCTCATTAGTTCAGGTGAATTTAATGATGTTAGATATATGTAGTTATTTTGCAAGTGATCGGTATGAATACTGATATTTTACTTTACTAGTGAATTGATCACAGCACGCCCATCACGTACCATGTGAACGAATTTCGCCTCAGGAAATATTTCCGCCAAATATTCAAGATGAATAAATGATAGTGGATCTTTATTACACGGAACAGGTGCATTTTCTCCGGCATTTTTGATGAAAGACGATATAAATGATCGTACAGCAGAATCGACTGCAACGGGATATAGACCAGCAGCTTTAAGTCGTTCAATTTCTTTTCCTTTACTCCACCGACTTCGTAAATTGAGGATCCTGCCCCAAAATGCCCTGGTACGGCTGAGGATGAGGAGGGTCCCCTCTCCTCGAGGTAATCTCACATGGCCACGCGCATACAGCCACTGACAGGGAAGTCCTGCTCACTGTCTTCTCGTGGTGGGGGTGTTGTTTATGAAAGTGAGGGAACGAAATACGAATATCCGATGCTTAACCGGGTTAGTTGATACAGAGTGTTCACCTAGAGGAAACCCTGATCCCAAATCAATGGTCAACATGAGCTCCTGGATCCTGGAGGAACATTTGGCGTATGAACCTATTCTTGGTCACTGGCTACCATAGGATGCATCTCTTGACGTCGCTCCACTGTTTTGTGGATCAGAACTTTAGGTAGAAGTCTATGGGTGTGACCCCCTATTAAAACCATCTGCTTCGGTCTGGGCAGCCGAGCAATATCACAGCCCACACACAAATCAAATGATTTGTGCGGTGTATATGTATTCACTGCCCTTTCGTACCAATATTATGTGTTGAAATAAATTCGAGTATCTTGAATATTACGCTACTTTCAGGACTACACCGGATTATTGGATGTACATCTAGCAAGACATACATAAGAGTAATGCCTGTATATGAATTTATAATGAAAAAAATTAGTAAAATCATGTGATTAGTCGACATTGTATGTACTTATAAGATCTGATGATGCAAATAATTGTGTTTT